ACCCTTCTTCAGAAAACATTTTCTGAAGAAGGGTCTCGACCCGAAACATCAGCTTTCCTGCTCCTCTGATGCTGCTTGGCCTCCTGTGTTCATCCAGCTCTACACCTTGTTATCTCAGAACCACCAAGCAGCTGACTGGTGTATCTTACCAACTAGCTACCTGTTTTTGTCTCCGGATGGGTTTAATAACTTAAACTGGTCATCTTGTTTAAGTCTCAATGCTTCTATTTTAAGTTTGAGTTATCACTTTATTTAGTTATTAATTTAAATATTCATTTCTAAAGCCTTTTTCAAAGCCAACAGAGAGCCCCCCTACAGGGGAACCTGGGGTAAGATGCAAAAGTGTTCCCCAATGTTTACTTGCATGAATGTTTTCGTTCTTTTGAATTTTCTCTTACTAATTTTAAACCAAAGTGTGTTCCTAAATTTCAGCCTTTGAGTTACTCATGTCAATTGTCTTTGATATAAATATTGTCGAATAGACTGTTTGATTCCATAATAAATTTTCAGATTTATGTTGATCACAACTGACCATTTAAGACTTTTAAAAAAAAACTGGTTGTAATAGGAAACATAAATATTCTGAAAATTTACCTATTGTCGCATGAAGTCTTTTAGAGCTCTCTGTGCTGACACAGTTAAGTATGGGAAAATAATTGTGGCACACTTTGAATTCCTTTGTGATTAACTTTCTGATTGTGGTCTCTCTGTTTTGTCTTAAAATCTTTTTAAAGCATTTATTATATTTTCTTGTGAATTGATTTTAATTGAATTTGCATACAATTACCTTTAGAGTTCAGAGGAAAGTTCCAGAATTTCGATTACCTTCTTCCGTCTCTTCCGTGTAATGCGATTGGTCAAACTACTGAGTCGTGGTGAAGGCATACGCACATTGTTATGGACTTTCATCAAGTCCTTTCAGGTATCTATGCAGTTTTATCCTTGTAATCAGGGAATTAATTGATATTATTATATATGCATATCAAAAAAGACCAATCAATGTTTGCTATGTCTAATTCAGGCTAACTACAGCAGATGTGTATTCATTTTTTTAAGTGTCCTGTACAGCCTCAAATGTCAGCCATTTAACTAAAAGACCCAAGTAATATTTGACAAAAATAAATCCTATTGCATGGACTATGGAGATGTTGCATGAGTACTGACAACATTGCTAATTTTAATACTCAAATAACGTTCAGTTCTACTCATCCTTTGATTGTAGAATTGTAGATTCCAAGGGAATGTATCCAATGCACATCACTTTCACCTTCACACTGGATCTTTCACTGAAGTCCTCTACTTGAGGACTTTTTTGAGGAATTTGAGAAATCCCCTTTTCAAAACTGAGTTGCAAATCAGAATATGGCATAGTGAAGTAACTCCACGAAGGACAGTACCCTGTCACCAAGTCACCCTTTATTTACACATGCATAGTACAAGACACTGACCCAGCTAGCTCAGAGCCTGCTCCGAGAGTGAACAGAACTCCTGACACTCCTGTTTATATCTGTCAACCAGGACTTCCCAATTGGACCAGGTTAACAGTCCCAACAGGGAACTCCTATGATGTCCATCTGGCTGACCAATCATTACATCCCTCTCCCTGGACATCCTGAACCTGTTCTTTTTTGTGTATCTTCCCCTGAGGCATTTTCACATCAGGTCCAGTTCCTCTAACTCTGCCTCAGATATTGACAGCATGTGCTGGACCATAGTCTGCCACTTGCACCCAGAGCAACTAGGCCAAAATTCTTCACCTTCAGGTGGTGACAGTGACAAGGATGCAACATCTGCCATGTCTATCTTGTTCTCAGAGGCTTCTTTGATGCTAGGTGGAAGGGGAGAACCCATCGGTTCTGACAGCCTCACCGGGTATGTTTTGCTGCTGCCCCATTTATGAGGTTTCAGCTTTCATGTCATCCACGTACTTGTTCAGGACCACCTCATTTACCCAAACTTTGAATGTCATGGGACATGTCATTGCGTCAACCATGCCTCTTACCCACGCAGGGCCATTCCTGTGGTTTCAACACCAAACTTCATCCCCTGAAGTAAACTGCCTCTCTCGCCTAGAGGAATCTTGTGTCAGGTATTGGCGTTCCCAATGCCATTTCACCCTCCACCCACAGCCCCGTCAGGTCTGGGAAGATCATGTTTAATCTGGTGCAGAGTCTTCTCTCCGTTAGCAACTCTGCTGGAGTTGTCTCTGTTGTTGTGTGAGGAGCGGTCCTGTAATCAAATCGGAACTGGAACAGTTTGGTATCAAGTGAAGCTGTAGGCGGTTTCTTTAAGCCTGCCTTCAAAGTTTGGACTGCTCTTTCTGACAGGCTGTTGGATGATGGATGGTATGGAGCTGTTTTTACATGCCGAATGCCATTCGACTTCAGGAAATAATTGAATTCCCTGTTGGTAAATGATGGCCTATTGTCTGTGACCAGATGCTTGCAACTTTGCAATCATCATCTCCATGTTTGACAAATGAACTCTAAACCACTTTGAATGGGCGTTCATAATGACTGAAAACATTGAGTCCATGAAAGGACCGGCATAGTCGACACGTAACTGAGTCTAGGGTTACCTGACCATTCCCACAAATATGGGGGAGCTGCTGGTGGTAATTTTTGTCCTTGTTGGCACTCTGGACATTCCCCGACCAATGAGGCTATATCAGCATCCAATCCTGGCCACCAGACATTGGTTGAGTTCAGCCAGTATCTGGCAGCGACCATTGCTCGGGACAATCATTCTTGCTCCCCATAATAATATACCTTCCTCTACAGTAATCTGATCACGCAGTTCCAAAAAGGTTTCAATTCTGGTTGTGATAGCCCTTTTGTTTCCCCCATCACCATCTGCTGTTTTCGTTTCACCAGGACAGAATCTTTTTGTGTCCACACTCTGATATTGTCAGCTATGATGGAAGCATGTCTAGAAAGTTTAAAAACAGAATGCACTCTTCCAGTGGCGGCATAACCAGTGGTGTTTCTGCCAGCGGGAGGTGGCTCACGGCATCCACATTTGCCACTTGGCCACCTGAATGATGTTCCAACTTGCAATGGTACGCAATCATTCTGAGAGGCACTGCTGAATTTGACCTGAAACTTTGGGTGGCATGACCCTGTCCTCCTTATGTAGTCCTAGCAGGAGTTTGTGGTCCATTACTTTACAAACGTATGTCCATAAAAGTATTGGTGGAATTTTCTCACATCAAAGATGATTGCTAAACCTTCCTCCTCTATCTCGGCGTACCTTCGTTTGGCATCAGCCAAAGTCCGGGAAACATGTGCTATCGGACGTTTTTCTCTGCTGGGCCACCAGTGAGCCAACACTATGCCAATACTGTATGGGGAGGCATCGCATTTCAGCAGCACATTTCACTTGGGATCATAGTGTGCCAACGCCTTAGGCAACAATAGTTTCTTCTTCACTTCCGTAAAGGCTACATTTTGGCTATGAGACAATTTCCAAGGCTGACCCTTTTTCAGTAACCTTGGAGAAATGTTTAAGCGCAATGTCCAAGTTCTCTAAATGCTGTTATTGGTCTTCCCCGTTATTAGCATATCGTCTAGATAAATGGCAACTTGGTGTAGACCTCGTAAAATGTTCTCATTGTTTGCTGGAAAATGTCACAGGCTGATGATACCCCAAAAGGTAATCTCCTATATTAGTACAAACCCTTAATGGTATTAACTAATTGTAGCTTACATCTGGGAATCTTCCTGTAATCGTAATTGCAAATATGCATGGCTCATGTCCAGCTTCGTGAAGGACGGTCCTCCTGCCAGTTTTGCATATAAGTCCTCTATGTGAAGGATTGGGTATTTTTCCAGCTGTGGGAAATGATTTACTGTTTGTTTAAAATGCCCCCCCAAAGGAGAACTGATCCATCGGGCTTCATGGTCGGTATGACCAGTGCTGCCATGATGCAAACTGGACTGGTTTGATGATTCCTTCGCTTTCAGCCTCCTGATTTTGCCTCTACTTATGCATGTAAGGTAAATGGCAGGCCTTGCAGAATCATGGATTTTCTTCTCGGTCAACATGTAAGGTGGCCTTAGCCTCTTTGATAGTCCATAGATCTTCCTGAGAAACTTTCGGGAAAGTAATTACTACTTCACTCGGGCAGCCTTTTTCTAATCGAAAAATGTTGAGCCAGTCAAGTTGAATCTTTCTCAACCAATTTCACCCCGTTAAACTTGGGCCCGAGCCTTTTACTACAACCAGTGGTAACTGAACCAGGTGCTTCTCATTAGTAGCCAGACGGAAGTTGTACACTTAATCAGTAGCGGTTCCCCGTATAGGTTCTAAGTTTAGAGTCCAGAGCGAATGTTGCTAAAGACTGGTTCCTCAATCACTGATTTAGCTGCACCAATATTGGCCTCCATTAGAACTGGGTAACCATTTAACCAGACATTTATTTTGATTGGTTCTGATTTGGATGTTGCTAAGAAATTTAACTGTTCCAAACCAGGTATAGGTGGACTTTCCAGGGTGTGCACTCTCCTGGATACCAGCCTTTGAGTTCTCTTACTCAATTCAGGCCGAGTGGGACTCTTTTGCTGCCTCAAGTCCACATCCCGGCAGCAGCTACAATGGCCTACTCTCCAGGATCTTTGAGAAAATTATATATGTTTGTCTGACGCTTGGCTTTGTTTTGGGGTTTTGCTATGGGCTGACCTGGAGCCCCTCTGTTCAGGATATATCCTGAGTGAGGCTATGCCATTGTTTTCACGTAAGTATGGCTGCTCAAGCTCAGTTGGCCTGGCGAAAGTGTCCATTTCTGTCAGAATACCCTGTAATTCATAAGCTCCAATGACAGCATTTTCTAATGACATAGCCAGTTGTAGTGCTTATTTGAAGTCAAGTTGGTCTTCAGTTAGTAGGTGCTTTTGTATGGTCACATCATTAATCCCACATACATGTTTGCCCAAATAATATCTTCCACCTTGGGATTTTTCATAGTTGCATTCAACTCTAGTACTTCAGTATTGCTACCTGGCCTTGTTTGGATGTCCACCCAATCCAGCTATCCAATTACTCTGCAATTCCTCCATTTTAGTTTTGGAAGCCACTACATCTGTTGTGCGGCTGTACTTTGACTAGTAGCAATGGGGCTAACATCATCTAAAGAACATTGCTGATACAAAGTGACGCTTAATTCATTCTAACTGATTTCCAAATCAATGTACTTGAAAGTTCCAGAAGTCTGACTTCCAATTTTAAATTCTGCCTTTAAGCCAATTTATGACAGTGTTTTCAATTTCACTGCTCTCACCCACCAGAAAAATAATTAGGTGCATCATAAAGATGCCTGCAAACTGCCCTTTATGGTGATAATAAAACATGTCATGCTTTTAACTGACGACAACCCAATTTTTATAATGACAAAGCTTGCTGAGAAGTATCAAACTTGAGAGGCATCACTTAGGACGTATACACATTGATTCACTGTGTTTGTGTCTTTTTTTGGAGGATGCAGAAACATTTCCCTCTTGAGCTGATCTCCCTGCAGAAATGCAGGTTTAATGTCAGCTGATCTACACTCCCAAGCATTTATTGCAACCGAAAGCAATAAAATTTTCAAAATTACTTTTCCTGCCGGTGATTCTACTTTTATATCTTGATGCCTCGGTGTTTTGATTTTCAGATGCTTGTGTTAGTAGCCTTATTTTACACCTATAAAACCCATCAGAAGACAGCTTTTCTATGCATATCCACCTGTGTGATATGGCTAGCTGTCTCCTACGTGACATCTCTGTGTACATCCCAAATTCTCTCCAGCTTTGGTTATTGTTGCTTGACATATTTCATTAACTGATCACATGGGCTTCTGTGTCTGGTGGTATTCCTGGTTTGTACTATTATTTTTTGTCCTTTTTAAACGACACCTCTATTTTGCCTTCTATCTTTTTGTGGACTGCT